GTTATCCGCGCGAATATGAGATATTATTACTGTTGGCACGTGAGTTGTCTGTGCGAATATGAGTTATTATTTTTGTTGGCACGTGAGTTGTCCATGCAGATATGAGATATTGTTACTGTTGGCACGTGAGATGTCCGCGCATGTATGAAGTTATTGTTAATTATATTGTCACGTGAGTTATCTGTATAGCACGTGGATTGTTCGTGCAGTTGTGATTGATAATGTGGACCTAGATACCATGTGATTATGGTTCATGATTTGGGAAACTTGTGAAATGTGAATGTGAGGCGTGGTACTTCGATATGATTCTTGTTGTACATTTTATTATTGAAAGCTTGATGAGTTAAACGGTTGTTGTTCTTGTTTTCTTTATTTCCTTCCATTTGTGTTTTGATTTTACTTGGTTACATGTTGTCTTTATCACATGTACTCTCTTACAATCATTTGTTGCTTTATTATCGTTGTTAGCCTTGTATTAATAAATTGCTTTATCGTCCTTTATCTGCCTTTATTTTTCATTGTTAGATTATATCAATACCATGCATATGTTTTTATGTATAGTAGGTATCTTGACCCCACTTCTTCACTACTCTACCAAGGTTAGCCTTGATACTTACTAGGTACCGTTGTGGTATACTCATACTACACTTGCTGCGTATTTTTTGAAGATCTAGGTACCTCAAAGTGTTCCAGTCGTTAGATAGTTGATTGCGAGTTACTGTGGAGACTTCAAGGTATACCTTCCATCCCTTTCGTAGGTCTTGGATTCACCTTATGTTGTATTTCTATTCCGGAACAGTTTGTACTTAGAGATTTTTTAGTGAACTCAGTAGAGCTTATGACTTGTACTACAAATTTTGGGATATTATACATTTGTTGATGGTTGTTAGCTATGTATAACAATTACTGGTTCATGTTTAATGGTTGATTGGTTTAAATCTGTTAATAACTCAGTATGTGTTAGGCTTACCTAGTCTTAGAGACTAGGTTCCATCACGACTCCTAAGGAGGAATTTTGGGTCGTGACAACTGAAAAGCCTAATAAAGTCACCTATCTATCATGAAACATGTTCCATGACCACAAAATAAAAAGAGATAGTCCACACACTCAAATAAAATTCAAACGTAATTTAAGGACTTCAAACAATGAAAGAAATCACTCACTCTCTCAAAGAAGTTCGCATGCGCACAAAAGGTACCATAAGCTTGCCCATTAGGTAAATCTCTACTAATGTAGACCTGCTCAGTCTAAAATCAATTAGGACATTTTAAGGATTATAATGTAGGCTAAGGAACGGGTAGGATGAATATGGATCATAGTGACTAAACTTCCCCGAGCACTTACAACATAATACATAATAGCGCACTTACTGTTCTTCAAGTACCTCCCTTTTATAAATTTTTCTCAACACCCAATCTCTCCCTTTATTTGTTTTTTCTCTTCTTTCACTTTTAAGCAACAAGGACGGCCTTCTTTTATTTCTTTCTCAACACATTTTTTCGCATGCAATTTTTTTCTTTTTTTTCTTCTTTTTATTTCAAGAACTTGCTTTCTTCATTGCAAATCATTTTTTTCCTTAGCCTTCCACATTTAAATGGCTCCATTCATAGCTCAACCAGCCTTCTACTTTAACTTTAGCTATTAGCTCATTATGCATTTATAAGTTCTCAAAGAAGTAGGGTTCAAAAGATAGATAATTCAGCACAACAAAAAGCTCAAAGCTTGTAATATGGCTACAAATAAAAGGGAATTAGGCTCAACGGAGTGACTAGGGTAAAATAACACAGGATAGGCTAGAAAATCTCAAACGTGTCAAGGAAGACCTAAAACTACTTATTAAACTTAGCAAAACCTAGAATTTCACTTCAACTCACATGCATGGCAAGTTCTAGACACAAATGCACTACATGAAATAACACAAAAATCTCACCACATAATGGCACAGTATTCAATTAGGATGGCTACATTACAACTCTCAATCAAAGCAAGTACAGAGTTAAGACATAATTTTAATGCACAAGGCACAACTGTTAGCACAAGAGTAAAGAAAATGAGCTTAAGCGTCACAAAACAAGCTATTTTCATTTTTCAAGACAGTTCTCAAAAGCTCATGGGGAAAGTTCTAATACAAATGCATAGGCCTAACTCTACTGGTATCAAACAAGTCACGAAGTGTGCCGAATTCCGTCTGAGTCGTTGTATCATACATTACAATAAAAATAAAAATAAAAAAAATACCCGATTCAAGAATTCATCCCTTGGGAAAGAACCGATGCCCAAAAAAATCAAGGGGGATTATTGCCTAATAGATTAAACCTAAGCTAACTACCTAAAGCAAAAAAGAAAATATTTTTGTGCTTTTTTTTCTTTTTTTTTCCAAAATTCCTAATACTAATACTAATGCCAAGAATACAATGAAATCTTTTTGTATTTTTCTAATGACCTCAATCCCTCAAGAAAATTGTCCTGGTAGTCCGTCATTGGGAAAGTCTACTATTATCTATATTTGTTTTTCTTTTTAAGTAAGTTGAAGCTACCAACTATTATAAGACTACTTACTACAAATAGAAACAACCGGATACCGAGAATTACTACTCATAAACTAAATTATTAACTATTATAGACCATTAATTCAGTGAATATTACAGTCCCAAAAATATCAAAAGTAAGAAAGATAGTGCATTCATCTACAAAAAATGAATAACCCCCATCCCACACTTAGAATCGTGTGTTGTCCCAATGCACACAAATAAAGTAGAGTTGGGTGATAATAAACTCCCTCAAGTCGATGTGGAAGGATCCTCCGTGGTCTGTAGAGGAGCATCAAAAGCAGTGGTCTGGGAAGTTGGGCCTGCACTAGTAGAAACATACGGGATAGAAGTAGTAGCAACAATCGAGTGAGTGCTCGAAGCATCCACGACTTCTATCATGGCCCCCTAGGGAATATCAACAACACCCTCACGACTTGGGGGCTCGGTAACGGCTTTATCAACTCCAGGTGGAGCTATATCTGTAGAATGTGACACGGTGGTCTTAGTGGGTATGGTGGATACAGACCCTGGGACCATAGTAGTAGTAGAAGTAGATGGTCCAGTATTGGATGGTACAAGCAACTGCGAAATATCTATGTATGTACGCTCAAATAAAGAACGGAGGAATAGTGATACCTCCCTTATTATAGTAGCCTGCTCAGTAGCACTCAACTCTGCACGAGTCGCTTTCAACTCACCTCTAGTAGCACTCAACTCTACACGAGTTGCTATCAACTCGGCCATGTTCTCTTGCATTTCAGCTCTAATATGCTCAAATAACTATTGAGTGGTGAATTTAGAAGTTCTCCCCTTGTTTGGTTCCTGGACAACAGTAGCATCATATAGTCCTGGAGCTTTGGCCTCGATGCCATCATTCTCCTTGTCCCGTGGCACACCCATCTACGTCAAATAAGCCTATAAGGTATTTTCATAAAATAACCTCCACTTATAGTTCATCCTGGCGCGTGGCATTTGGTCGGGCACGATAGATCCTAAGTTGAGCGGGATCCCCTCCAATAAAGCATACAACACTAGTGCTCGGTATCGAGTGACATGAGTTTTGTTGGCATGGCATCAGGCGATTGCATATAAAATTCAACACCACACGTGCTAGTGCGCTCATGAACTCCTTGGCCAAAGAATGGTAATCAACACTTCCATGCGTCCATTTTGCATCTTTCCTGGTAGGACATAGGACAAACTGAACAAGTGAGTAATCGAGCTCTTTGCATATAGATTCATACATGTCCTTTGGCGTATGTGGCACCCCTAAGAACCTGTTTCGAGCCTAAGCTGAGACATTGATATCCACCCCTCGTACTCTCACAATGTTGCCCGCGAATGACGCCAATTGGCATAGAGCTCTCTGACAATAGTAAGATTGCCCTTGTCGTGGCCCTTCAAGATAGATCTCTATTGTTGCACATCTCGAAGTGATTTCAGAAAGTCTGGGTAATTTTTCTTCAGTGTTCCAAAGTTGATTGGTTTTTTTGGAATGTATTTCTTGGAATTCAGGATTTTCTCAAAAGCCCGGAATGCTTTTTCACTCATAAAATTCTCCTCCCAATAAGCTTGGTCAAGTGGCTCACCCTCATCTTCATCACTCATATTGAAATTTGTTAGCTCATAGTCCGACTCAGTCTCGGACTCATATTCTGAAGTAGCCTTCGGCTTTCCTTTATCTTTTGGATCAACTTGCTTTGCGTATTTGGATTTTGTTTGCTTCGTCATATATTCTCTAAACTATATCCCCTTACTTGGCGGCCCTTGCGATATTTTTGTGGTACCCCTATTAGCATTCCTCCTGACCAATGGTTCTTCCTCTTGTTCCTCTATTTCTTGCTCAAGATCACCAAGCAATTGCCTAGTCGGCTGTGCCTTCGGTTTCTTAGTCCTCTTCCTCTTATTATGTGGGTTTTAAACACCTGTTGCCTTTCCAGTAGGCTTTTTGGGTGGTTGCTTGTCATTATCCCTTTCTTATTGCTTAGACGTTTTGCTCGTTGCCACTATTGTGAACCTATGTACCTGCAAAATAAAGAGTTCTGGTATTAGTTCTAGGACCTTACAACTTCAGCTATAAAACATCTTTTCAAAAAGGGTTCAATCCCAATCACTCTCACAATTATATCATCAAGTATTTCATTTAAAAGTTGCCTATGATTTTCAATCGCAAGTCAGCTTTTCAAGTTTAGTTTCGCTGGACAACTTGCTTAACCAATTATTGACCCAGTATGCACAAGGATGCAATCCTATGCAGGTGCGTAAATGTACTTCCAATCACCTACAATGGTTAACATTCTTTACGAATTGATTCTTTCACAATTGCAGAAGCACGGCGCAATTGCACAAAGAGTTTAAGCCTCGAACAATATAGTTACATAATGTCATGGTGCATTAATCCTCTTAAGAACTAACTTTTGATAATCTCTTCGTCATATAACAAGTTCATCTACTTAATTGTATGAAATTCAGCCCGAAAATTGGTTACTCGAAAGCCTAACTACCATTTGATGCCTCAAACGAGAGTGGAAAGAATGGCGAGCATCTGTAACTCCAACACGCTAACACGACAGTCCAAAATCACTCAAATAGTCCCACACTTAATCACTAGCATACACTAATGTTTCTCAGTTACTCAGACTTCAACGGCGTATAAATTTACCTCGGGGGCAATTTGTCGAACATGTGGGGTGCAGTGGTATTGACTAGTTTTCTCTCACTGATAAGCATGCGCATTACCCTCCCATAATTGCTCTCAGGAATTGTAGTTTTTCATCATCATGTACTGCAAGAACCAACAACCAATACAGGCAAAGCCTCAAAGTGATTCAAAGTTTTGTTTCAATTTCACGTAGAACTCACTGAAAGTGACTTATCCTAGGGGAATTTGGGGGTGGGATTCTGCTGATCCTAAAGATAGAAGAGGGAGGAGAGAGAAGAATAGGATGAAGCACATACTTGGCTGCGTCGGAGTTGGAGGCAGTGGTGGTGTAAATTGGTGAAGTTGCGTCTGGGTTGAGAGGAAATGAGTGGGAGAAGGATTTGGATTTTGAGTGGGAGAAGGATTTGGGTTTTAAGTGTGTGAAGTGTTAAAATATAACACTTACCTGATGCACGCGAGCTTGAACCCAATGCGTCCCAGGTGGTTTCCCCAATTTTTCATGGATGCGGCCCTTTGCGCTATGGCCACACTTCACTGCCTTGAGCAGTTGGACCCTTTCATTTTTGGCAGGAAAGGAGATCCGACGCATCCACCCTGTTTTCCCATATTTGAATATTTGTTTTTATTAAACCTACAAATAAAAGATTAATTACTACAAAATAAAACAATATTAAGGAACTATGAAAACAAAATAAAATGCTTGGGTTGTCTCCCAAGAAGTGCTTGATTTAACATCGCGACACGATACCAATTTTTAGGCATCTTTCAAGGCAATTGAGGACTTGTTACGATCCACATCACCACCCCAATAGCGCTTGACTCTTTGCCCATTGACCAAGAACGTCCTTTCGGAATCTGGCGCTCTTAACTCTATAGCCCCGTATGGTATCACACGCACTATTTCAAAAGGTCCAGACCATCCCGATTTTAATTTTCAAGGACACAACTTCAACCTGGAATTGAATAGCAATACCAACTGGCCCAACTCAAAATAGTGATACTTGATATGCTTGTCATGCCACCTTTTGGTCTTTTCTTTATATAACTTGGCATTCTCAGATGCATTTAGCCTGAATTCATCTATCTCATTGAGTTTGAGCAGTCTCTTCTCACCTGCCAACTCCATATCCATATTGAGCTTTTTGATGGCCCAAAAGGCCTTGTGTTCTAGCTCAACTGGAAGGTGACATGATTTTTCGTAGTTCAACTTGTAAGGCGAGGTCCCAATAGGTGTCTTATATGCAGTCTGATGCGCCCATGGAACGTCATCAAACCTTCCAGCGCAATCTTTCATATTTGCACTGGCTGTTTTCTCCAAAGTTTGCTTTATTTATCTATTTGATACCTCTGCTTGCCCACTCGTCTGAGGGTGATATGCAGTGGCAACTTTATGCTTGACCCCATATTTATCTAGAAGGTTGTTCAAAAGTCTATTGTAAAAATGCGTACCTTCATCACTTATTAAGGCCCGAGGAGTCCTGAAACGTGAAAAAATATTCTTCTTGGAAAACTTAGCTACCACTTTCGCATCATTAGTAGATAAATCAATGGCCTCCACCTACTTAGACACGTAATCCACCGCTTACAAGATGTATTTGTTCCCTCTAGACGATGAGAATGGTCCTATAAAATTGATCCCCCAAACATCAAAAATCTCCACCTCAAGAATGTTTGTGAGCGGCATCTCATTCTTGCTAGTGATAGTTCCAGTTCTCTGACATCGATTGCACTTCTTTAAAAATGAATAGGCATCTTTAAATAGAGTATGCCAATATAAACCCGGCTGCAGAACTTTTGCGAATGTTCTATCACCACCATGATGTCCCCCATTGGGTGAGGAGTGACATTCGTACAAAATATGCTCCACCTCCTTCACCGGAATGCATCTTCTCATTAGTTGGTCAGCACATTGTCGATACAAGAACGACTCATCCTAGAAAATAATAGTTTACGTCATGTAGGAACAACTTTTTCCCTTCAGGTGGCATTTCTGGAGGAAGTACTCCGTTTACTATGAAATATACATAATCTGCATACCATGGTGGCGGATCATATGTGACTGCAAAGAGTTTCTCGTCTGGGAATGTCTTTTTAATCACTACTCTATCTTCCACATGTTCATGATTTTCTAGCCTTAAGAAGTGGTCAGCCACCTAGTTCTTTGTGCCCTTCCGATCACGAATTTTCAAGTCAAATTCCTGCAAAAGAAGTACCCATCTAATTAGTTTCGGCTTAGCATCTTTTTTTGAATATAAATACCTGATCGTCGCATGATCCATGTAAACTATCACATGTGTTCCGACTAAGTAGGACCGAAACTTGTCAAAAGCATAGACAACTGCCAACAATTCTTTTTCCATCGTGGTGTAATTGAGTTGTTCATTAGTTAGGGTCTTGATGGCATAGTAAATTGAATGAAACACTTTGTTCTTTCTATGTATAAGCAGAATCCCAATTGCTACGTCACTCGCATCGCACATCAACTTAAATGGCAGACTCCAGTCAGGTGCCACAACGACTGGTTCGGACACCAACTTCAATTTCAGCTCCTCGAATGCCTTTAAACAGGCATCATCAAAATTGAATGTGGCATTCTTTTCCAGCAACCTGCACTCAATGTCCCAATACAATACCTTCTTTAACCATAAAATGTCACTTCTCCCAATTAAGCACTAGGTTAGTGTCCTTACAGCGTGCTAGCACCAACTCCAAGTTCATCAGACAATTATCATAGGATGACCCGAAGACTGAAAAATCATCCATGAATACCTCCACGAATTTCTTCACAATGTCGGTGAAGATGGCCTTCATGCACCTTTGAAAAGTTATTGTTGCATTGCATAACCCGAATGACATCTTTTTAAAGGCGAAGGTGTCATAGGGACAAGTAAATGTAGTTTATTCCTGATCTTCTGGTGCTATCACTATCCGATTGTAACCGGAGTAACCATCAAGAAAGTAATAATATTCATGTCCCGCTAGCCTGTCCAGCATTTGATCAATGAAAGGGAGAGGAAAGTGATCCATGCACGTAGCTTTGTTGAGTTTCCTGTAATCAATGTATACTCTCCAGCCCGTCACCGTTCTGGTAGGTATCAACTCATTTTGCCCGTTTGCCACAACTATCATGGCTCCTTTTTTCGGCACGTACTGCACATGACTCTCCTAATTGTTGTCATAAATAGGAAATACGATCCTAGTGTCCAGCCACTTAATAGTCTTTTTTTTTACTACCTCCTTCATAATGGGATTTAATCGTCTTTGATGTTCCACATTGGGTCTGTGTCCATCCTCCAGGAATATTTTATGCATACAAAATGATGGACTGATCCTCTTGATATCAGCAATAGTCCAGCCGATATCCCCTTGTGTTCCCTCAGATCTCGAAGCAGCTTGTCTTCTTGCACATATGACAATGAAAATGAGATAATCACCTATAAGGATTCCGAAGCACCTAAGTAAGCATATCGCAAATGAGAAGGTAAAGGCTTGAGCTCTAATTTTGGAGACTCCATAATAAAAAACTTAGGTGGTGTCAATGTCAATGGCCTGTCAATTTCCTCAAATCTCTTCAACCCGTTGACATATTGACATGTTATGTTTAAAACTTGTACAATTTCATCCACCAGCTCATCCTCTTCTTCGTCTTCGCCAATTAAAGATCTTCCCAGGGGATCTTCAGACACCAAGTAAGGTATTGTGCTTGCTAATTCATCATCCGCAATGTAATCATGTCCAATTCTTCATAGTGTGCAGGAAATGTGAGTGCTCGGTATACATTGAAAACCTCCACTTTGTCACCCACTCTCATAGTTATTTGTTCTTCACATACGTCAACCACGGATTTATGCTCACCCCAAGAACACACAATGCTTACCCAACCACATGTTTCCCAATTGAAATTTGAATTATGAAGCTTCATGGGTCCTTCAATTTATGAGGAAACTTATTATGAATCCTGGAACTACACTCCTCAGTGAGTGTTACAGTCTCAAATTTAGTCAACTTGCACTTGTTTGCCACAATTTCGTTGATGTACTTTTCATACTTTGGCACTTCTTGCAAAATATCCACCAATGGGATGCTAATCTGCACCTGTTTCAAAATATCAAGGAACTTCTTGTACGCTGCATTATCCTTCACTTTCTGTAATCTTTGATGGAACAGAGGTGGTGGCTTTGCAATTATTGGTTGTGGTTTCTTTGCCACAGCCTCTTCAAATGGCTTCTCTGACTCTTTTGTAGTTTCTGATTCGACTTCTCTGGTGGCTTGCTTTTCACTAAAAGTCACTTGATTTCTCTTCTTCGAAGGTACATATTCTAATTCTCTCACATTCCTCAGTAACACAGCATTAATAGGAGCCTTAGGATTAGCCTCAGTATTGCTAGGTAATGCTCCCGCTGGTTTGGTGTTCTGGGAACTAGCAAGTTGCCCCATTTGTCGCTCTAAATTTTGAATAGTAGTAGCCCGATTCTGATTATCAACCATAATCTTCTTGAGCATCTCCTCAATATTACCCATCGAATTTGTAGACTGATCTGCTTGTGATGGGTGAAACTGTTGTTATTAACTTTGTAGTTTGAACTAATTCTGAGTACCCTGATTTTCACCCCAAGAGAAATTTGGGTTGTTCCTCCAATTTGGATTATAAGTATTACCATATTTATTATGATAAGCTTGGCCTCTATTAGCTTTCCCCACAAAGTAAACTGACTCTAGATTCACTGGACATACATCACTGGTATGGCCCTCGCCACAGACTTCATAGAACACTTGCACCTGTTGTACTGGTTGAACATGTTGCATTGGTTGGAACTACTGTTAGTTCTGAGCCATATTTATCTTGATGATTGGATTTGCTAAAGATGCTATTTGTGTAGATAATGATGATACAATATCCAATTCAAGTACCCCGATAGCTTTATGGACTATGTCTGCCTGTGTTCCCCTTGCCAATCTGGGTTGCTTTTGGAAAACTTGTTCAGCGGTACATAAATCTCATTAAAGCTCTTTTCCAATACTTGACCAACTGCTGCTACATCTACCACTATTTTTGTTTCAAGTTGAAGACTTTTAATAAAAGTATGAGCCAGTACCTCGTTGGTTTGGTTATGGTGTGGATAGTCTCTTAACAGGCCCTTGAATCGCCACATGCTGCATAAAGTGATTCACCTTCTCTCTATTTAAATGCAACTATCTCACTTCTTATCTTTGCGGTTTTACCAGGAGGAAAAACCTAGCCAAGCATTTGTGAGCCAAATCATTCCACGATGCAATAGAGTTAGCTGGCTCAGATTTTAACCACCTCTTGGCCGCTCCCAACAGAGAAAAAGGGAACAATGTGAGCTTGACATAATCGAACGTCACCCCATTAGTGATATAAGTATCAATAATCTTTAGAAAATTCAGAATATGTTGTTGGGGGTCCTCGCGTGGCAGTCCCATAAACTGTCCATTTCATGAAGTAGCTGGATCATGCTCTGTTTAACCCTGAAATGCCAGTGATCCTAGCTTTAATGATACTGGAGGTGACATTAGCAATATTGGGCATAGCCACCTCTTGTACTGCCAAAGGGTGTTCATCCGCCATTTCAACAAGAAGTCGAATAAGTACTTATAGATTATTTGTTTCTCGATCTTCTCTCAACCTTCTGCGAAATTCTCTCTCAGGTTCTAGGTCAAAATTCTATAGTCTATCCTTGCTTCTAACTCGTCGCATTCAAGCAAAGTACCTGAGATCAAACACCCAGCCAAAAAGAAGATTAAAACCTTAATACGATGAGGAGTAAAAGCTTAATCTAGTAGAACAATTAATTTCTAAGTCCTCGACAATGGTGCCAAAAACTTATTATCCTAAAGCGCACATGCAAATATACACGGTCAATCAAGTAATAAAGAGTGAGTAGAGTATTGTTCCCACGAGGATTTGTGATCAATTATCAACTAAATCTAGCAAGTTCTAATTTATAGAGTCAAGAACAAGTTCAAAGTAATTATAATTTTTATTTAACTAATTATACGAACTAGAGTTGCGATTAAAAAAAGAACTAAATAACTAGCACACTTAGCACGAAAGGTTGAATTCAATGAGAAATAATATTCCAGGGTCATAGTTAAGTAACAATCATATTGAATTTTTCAATTAACTGGATTTATTAATTTATCTGGGTTATTAACCTACAAGGACAAGAATACTCGTAGAAATTTGACAACTTCTACTCGCCTATTCAATTTATTATAACCCCTATATTCCTATGAGATTAGAGATAAAAAGAACGCATTAATAATTTCTGGTACAATTGGCTAAGCACGGCAAATAGGTATATTTTTATCTGTATTCGCAAATCAATTCCCCAATGACTAGGTTCAAGATCGCACTCTATTCAATCCTATTGCAATCAAGAATTAGCTCTTTCAAGTTCAACTCAAGATTCATATATAGTATTTCACTATTAGCTAAGCAGTAAAATAATTAGACTCAGGATATGAATAAACAACCCAATAAGATAAATTAAATTGCCAAATCAATCTCTGAATATCAACATTCATATAAAATCATAAACTTAGAATAAACGAGTTTAGCCACGCATAGTCATGGCAGTAATCTCAATCAATTCCCAAGAATACATAAAAATAATAAAAGAAGGGAAAAGACGAATTTTGTGGTTTCCGAACTCTTTGATGGCTTTTCTCTGCTTCCAAGTATGTTAGATGACCTAAAAAGGTGTTTTTGACTTATATTTTGTATACAAAAGTCGTGATTTAAAGTTTTTCTTTTTTTTTTTCCGAGTCTGCTTCAGGGATTGATGTTAAGCTGGATGCTTTGCGTCAGCCTCAGCTTGAACTTCTCAGCATCAGATGCTCTGTTCCTTCAACTTTGCTGTGCCCGGGTGCGGATGCTAAGGTAGATGCTTTCTTGAGACTTCAATGCTAAGAATGCTTCAATGCATCCAACCTCTTGTCCTATAACTGGAGCATCTTTTCTTCATATGTTTTCACTCCAAACGTCCTAAATCATCACACACAATTTAATTAGTCAAAAAATCAACAATTAACACATGTTGGATATTTTCAATACCAAATATTACCAAAAAGCAGTTAAAATATGGGTAAAGTAACATTAAAACATATAAAAATATGTCCAACATTAATGGGCGATATATTATTCTTTAAATGGCATTTTCAAATAATTTTGCAAACTCTCTAGATTATATTTCAACATTTATATTATCGATGTCACGACCCAATTTCACCTATAGGTCGTGATGGCGACCCATACTACAGCTAGGCAAGCCAATAAATAAATTAAACATATATCAATTATTTTCAGAATAATATTCTAAGAAATTTTATTATTTTACTAGCAATATTAAGAAATTAGAAAACAATATTACAATTCCAAATTCTACCAATGTGTATACCAAGACCTGGTGTCACAAGTGTATGAACATCTAATAGATTATACAAAATCTCAAATACTGTCTGAAATAAAAATAGACAGAATGAAAAATACAAGGAGCGACACTGGTAGCTGCACAACGGCTCAGAAAGGCAGCTCACCACTATGCCCCTGAATAACGTGGGTGTAAGACGATAGATCCCCCACTAGTACTTGTCTCAGGTCCTGCACAAAAAGTGCAACAAGTGTAGTATGAGTACGTAAACAACGTGTACCCAGTAAGTATCAAGCCTAATCTCGAAGTGGTAGAGACGAGATGCCCGACTTTGACACTCACTATGAGTCAATAATAATAATTGAAATAAAACTAGAATATTTAAATCAGCATGATTCACAGAATTTACAATAATTTATTTAACCAGTAGAAATAATTAAATTCCTTCAAATGCAACAATTCTCAATATATTATTTAAATTCCTTTAATTCCAATAAAATTTCCAATTTATCAATTAGTCTAATTTACAGGAATAACAATAATTCCTTAACAAGCAGGAATAATAATTCTTTAAATTTCAAAGATTTCCAATTTATCAATTAGCTTCGCAAGCTGCAATAAACTATCAAAGTATCGTGTGATTATTATTATTAAGCACGATTTCTACTGAGGTCGTACGACCCGATCCAGAGTGTCGTGTACACTGCCGAGGGACGTGCGGCATGATCCATAGATGCATCTATCCTGCCGAGGCATTCGGCCAGCTTCACATGAAAGGAGGACATTTTCTTATGTACCTCCGGAATGAGAATATATTTATTATAAGATAAATTCA